GACAAAAGTTATTGTGTATGTCAAACGTTATTTACTGTCTGTCTTTAGGACCTTTTATACTTTTTGTCTCTTTGTGTCTGTTTTATGTTGTTTTACTTTTACTTTTGCTTTCACTTTTTGTTTTATTTTTATTATTGTCTCTTTTAGTATAAAAATTTGTTTGTGTGCTTTTAGAGTTTTATGTGTGAAAAACATTGCCAATGTCCTTTGGCAATAAATTTATAATAAAACAATAACATTCGAGTTGTAAGGATAAATTTAATTGCAACAATTTGTGCATTATTTGAAAATTAGGTCAGATTTAGGTTGTTGCCTTATTAAAGGACAATTCCTATGTATGCTTCATAGCATATTCAACCATATAGGATTGTAATTTTAAAAATGTAATAAAACATAATTTAATATAATAAAATTTTATTATAGTTTATAAATTACAGCACCAATATTTTTAAATAAAGTATTTTGAAGCGAAGTGTTTTTTTTGAAATCCTTTGCAATGAGTAACATCTGCGAAAAACAAACACAACAGATGAGATGCGCTCTCATCGTCCTCCCCACAGCTACGACAGATTTGGTTGAAAGGAAGACCTAGTCTTCTAGCATGGTTCCCTAGCTTACAGTGCCCTGTAGTCAACCCTACCAGAAGACCAATGTTCTTGCGGGACATCTCAATGAGAGTTTTCGATTTCCTTTTATCGGAAAGTGGCCAGATTGCATACAGATGTCTACATATCGTTGAGTCCTCCCATCTTTTATTAAAAGTATTAGTGCAGAAAGAACTCATTATCAATTTACATGATGTTAGCGATATGCCCAGATAGTCTAGGTGCTCCGAGTATGGTTCTGAAGCACCCTTTCTGGCTAACTCGTCTGCTTTGCAATTTCCGAAAATATCCCTATGGCCGGGAACCCAGATTAAAGAAATATTGAGCTGCGTCGACATTTCGTTTAGAGATGTGTAGCAGTCAAGAACCGTCCTAAATGTAAATTGGACCGAACTCAAGGACTTTAATGCAGCTTGACTGTCTGATAGTATGTATATATTCCTGCCAAATATGTCATCTACATTCAAACAAGCTATAGCTTCCCTGATGGCGACCACTTCCGCCTGAAAGACACTACAATGATCTGGAAGCCTAAAGAAGGAAGATTTGTTCAATTCTGAAGGCAGTAACTGATAATTACTAAAAATGTTTTGATGAATTATTATAGAAAACACCAAAATATATATATATTTACACTATTTTATAAATATTATATAAACCATCATTTCAACGATTAATAATTTAATCTTTTTAAATGTAAGCAAAAATTCAAAAGAACACAATTAAAACGCAAAAACGAAAACATTGATATCAATGAAATCTATTAAGGTTTCAGGTTGGTATAATAATATATATCGAAAACTGGAATAAGTCCTCTCACGAAATTGTTCCATATATTTGTTGATACATAACCTTCTAGTCTCCATAAAGAACATAACTATTCATAATATAAATAAATATAAATATAAATAATATAAATTTTATATTATAAATTTTAAAAAAGATTTAATATTTAGTTGAGTAAGAGCCGCAATCTCTCCAAGATTTCATTCGGGTCTGCCGATCATTTTTTAAAGTACTAAGTTAAAACAATTGCGTCAATTGATTGTAACTAAGTTATGTGACGCATATTATGGAAACATTAAAGTTTGTTGAAAAAACTCAAATTCAATAGCTTTTTAATGAAGTATAAAAGTCAAACATAAGCTTATGGATTCATTAGCCCATTTAGAAAAGTTTCAAACAGACCGTTTGCACTAAGTAAAAGAATAGTAACTTGTTAACCAGTATGTACTAATCAGTAACCAATTTTTGCTACTTCTGTTATGTAGATGTTGAGATGTTCCAATATATTAGTGGTTTTCTAAAACTGAATAGCAACAAACTTCTCCATCTTCCCAAGTTTATATCACACATCTATTCTATATATACATGTACTCAGAATAAATTAATAGAAATATCGCATCGATAAGTAATATCGTAAAATCGATATAAAAGGAAAAAATTTGTGCACAAATTTTATTATAGGATATGCAACTTTTAAACAAAAATAATATATAAAAAATAATATATAATTTAAAAAAAAATATGAACAGAAGTAAAGAATTCCTCAGTTCAGCCTTTTCTTTCCATAGAACTCATTTATTGATTGGACATATCAAAATAATTTTCAAAAGTTTTTAGAAGAGTAGTAATGAAATATTTTCCGTAAGCCAGTTATACTGATAAAGTTTACTACTAACTGAGAAATATATATTGGTTCAAAGGGGAGCGCGGGTTTGTCATACTGCAAGTGACTTGCTTAATGAATAAACTAGTAATATGTCTTATGTCAGGGTAAAAATTTGACAGCTAGTATTACTTGTACAAAGTGAGTACACGTCTTTCCATACCTTACATATCCACCATACCTTTCCATGAATGAAATTTCTGAAATACAGCTTAAAACAAAGCACTGATCCATCCTACTGTGATGCTAAATAAATAAAAAATAACGTAGTATCTTATAATGTTTCTGTGAAAAATCCTTCCCACTTTAGTGTAGATCTTTTTCAGGAACTTTTTATTTTTTTATATCTTATTTTTAACACTACTATATGATTCTTCTATTTATGAAAGAATGAAGTTTAGTCAAACAGAGAGTGTATTTTATAACTTTTTAATCTTATCTTCTTCAAATAGTTTACGGATTTTATATTGTCATTTCTTTATTCTACTTTTATTCTATTCTTTCACAGATTATATTTCTCATAACTGCATAATTATATGTATTAATAATATAAATAATTTACTCTTACGATTATGAATTGGGATAATAATACTGGCTTAGTACTGATTTTACTATTAGATTTAAGTCAAAAGGCTTACGCCAATAAATGAAATAATGAAATACAATATGTTATATCGATTTTATTTATTGAGTTTATATAAAGCTTTATTTATACACCAAACAAAAAAATGTATATACCAGTAAACGGTTACAATTTACATTATAAGCATTTATATATATACCTAGCATGCATATAGTGTAGTATAGTGTTACTACTAATATAGGGTTGGCATTGTGAAGGAACTGTCAAAGTTTTGAAAAAAAATTATTTCCGCAGATAATAGCTAATTTGGAATATCAATAAGAGGTTTAATGTTAACAAAAGTTTTTAAATGAATGTTAAATTTATTAATACTTAATGTACACTTATTGATATTTAGAAGATTCTCATTCTTAGAAATTGTCAGATTTATATATTTCTCATATCGAAGATCAATATTCAAATTTTTATATAAACTTACAACTCTTTTCATCCAACTAAAATCATTGTTTTCCTGTTTTCAGTTTATTACTAATATTATTTTGAGAGTGTATGTCAAACTCTACTTAAATAAGCTCAACCACACAAAATCCAATAAAACTCCTTTATATGATGTATTTCTAGTGCTGATTACTTATTTTGGCCATTGATGACCAAACTCCATTTCGGCCACAATAAAATCTTCCTAACAAGTAAATGAAAGCGAAACGTGGTTGAAATTTATATGCTGCAACACAAAATTTTATTTATTTTATTGATGAACCCGGAAAAGGGAATTAAGTGCGTTTCACCGCCAACCTCTTACCCCATCCAAACAAATAAGGGATCCGACCGTAAACTTTGCCAGCAAAAAACAGCGCCAAATGAAATAAATAACAAATATTGCAAAACAAAACTCACATTTGGGAAAGGCAATAACTGAAAAACAAACGAAATCTCATAAGAAGTTTTGCGAAATGCGTCTGCGGTTGCGAATTTAGGTCAGTGGGATAATTCGATACAAGATACAAGATATGAGGAAAGTTGCTAAACTGTAATCAGCTGTTTACGTTTCATTTTGTATGCTGTGGTGTGAGTCGCAGCTGAATTGAAGTTTTGGTAAAGTTTTCCTGAGAAATGGGCAATATTGAACTGTGGGATTAGGCAACTGATTTGGTATCTTAATGAGACAACAACGCCAGCATCAGCATCAGCACCACAACGCAACTTACATTCTTAAGTAGTTACTGGTGACTACAGTTAAAGTTTGTTACATTTTTAATAACTTAAATAGTCACAATCAGCAGTTTTATGTGTTAATAAATATTTTTTTCTTAATAATAATTTAATAAATATAAATAACAATTATTATTTTGACAGATGTGGGCATATTTTCTATTTATACTATAAAAAACATACCCCACTACAGTTGGTAATTCCATAAGTCTTTCTCATTATGTCCTCGAAGACTGCTTTAATAATACGAATTATTTATCAAGAATACTCCAGGGAGCTGTGGTTGCGGTTATGCTGTCGTGTTTGCTAGCAGCTTTAATGGCTATTCTCCTTGGAACCAACGAAAACAATAAATGCCATTAACATTTCCACAAACTAAACCATTTGAAGACCTGACCCGAAGTAATTGCCACAAAGAGCTGCTTGTTGGCTACAACATAAATTGATGAATGATTGATTAGGACGATTATTTATTTGGAATGAGCAATTTCGTGTAATAGCATAATTGTATCTTGTTTGCGTTTCAAAGCTTCAATAAAAAACCAAATAAGTAAAAGTACGAGTATCTAAACAAGTAATATAATAGCAAAGAAATTGGGTATTCCCTCCACTTATGTCTTTAAACAATGTTAATTGAAATAAATATTTTGGAATATATTGTTGCGAAGATACAAATCGATTCAAGTTAACTGAGATAATTTTAAATTATGTCAGTTAGCTAGTAAATAAGTTTTTAAATGTAGTTGGTTAATTTTAAGAGAATAGGAAGTTGGTTATTTTAAGCAATAAAGTTGTGTGTGTTTAAGAAGATAAATAACGGTTATAATTAATACAAGTTTAATATTATTCACTTATCAGAATCCAGTGTTATCGAACGAAGCGTTAGAATAAACGTAACATTGGTGTCAGAAGTGGGATTCTGATAAATAAAATGGTTAAGCTTGGACAGTTAACCGTAGTGCAGTTAAAGCGGCAACTGGAGAAGCTGGGGCTTAGCACAGGTGGTGTTAAGACGGAGTTGCAAGTAAGGCTGCGTGAGGCTTTGGAGGCGAGCGGTATAAATGCGGAAATGGAAGAATTCCCTGAAGAGATAATTGTAGCGGGAGAAGTTAAACAGGTGAGTAATAGTGAAATGATGGAGCTTATGATGAAGATGATGCAGCAGATGAAGGAACATGCAGAGCAGACTTCCACTGAGCTTAAGAAAAATGCAGAGCAGACTTCCACTGAGCTTAAGAAAAACGCAGAGCAGATTTTCTGTGAATTCAAAGATTTAAAACAAGAGTTGTGGCAACTTGTCGGGATAACAGCAGAGGCGCAAGAAAAGTTGTCGAAAAGGGTTGATGAAACAAACCGGAATATTCAAGTGTTTAATGAGGTGTACCAGTTAGAAAATCGATTGGATGATTTGTCGTCGAATCGTCATTCGTTAGCGAGTGTTCGCCAGACTGGGGAAGTAAAATTAAAACCACCGGTGTTTGGTGGAACCGCGATGTTTGAAGTTTTCCAGTTACAGTTCGAGACTACTGCTGTTGCAAATCGTTGGGGTGAAGATGAGAAAACGGCAGCGCTGATTGTGGCATTAAAGGGCAGAGATGCTACAACAGATTCCTGATAAGGCACGTAGGAATTACCATGAGTTAATTGGCTTATTAAAGCGTAGGTATGGCAGCAATTTTATGTCACCGCTACGCAGAGTAGAACTGAAGGCAAGAGTAGATATCGAACGTTTATGCAATTTAGCGTATATTGGCAGTTCTAGTGACTTCATTAAAAAAAATAAAATTGATGTTTTTATTGATGGCATACGTGATCCAGAAACCAGACGGCAGGTGGTAATGTTTCCAAAGCTAACTTACGCTGAAACAGTTGGCAGTGCGTTAACGTACGAGGCTGCCGGTATAATGTGTTGCTTTACAGCAAAAGTACGGAAAATGGAAACTGGAGTGGCAGAAAGAAAGACAAGAAGGAAGGCAAAAGAAAAGACAGAAATGAAGGCAGGAAGAAAGACAAAAAAGAAGACAAGAAAGGAGGTAAAAAGAAATAGAGGAAAGAGAAGAAAAGAAAGAAGGATAAGAGAGAAAACAAGAAATAAGATAAGGGGGAGAAGAAGACTGATTCAAATAATGAATAGGGAAAAAAGAAACAGAAAAAAGAGAAGAAAGAAAAGGAGGAAAGACTATTTCGGTTTACATAGTTATGATTTTGTGTTAATCGGCTTTGGTATAGCTGAATCAGTTGATGACATCTGCTTGGACGAGCAAGAATCCCCATATGTTATATATGTTGAGGGTATTTCATTTGGATTCAATTCTACAGGTGAGACTGTGGAGGCTGATCCCTCATAGAGTAGAGGCTGAAATGGAGGGTTGATTTCATGTTCAGTGTCAATGGTTGAGTAACTTGTCTCTGCAAACTCCTTCGGAAGATTTCTATTTGCTTCAACTGGTTGGGAACTGTTTTTGTTTTTATTAACATCTTTTCCTGCTGAGGCATTCCTATCGTTTGTACTATTTGCATTTTCAAGAAGAACAAATTTCTGTCTTGCTCTTAAGAATTGTTCACTTGTTAAGGGGCAATCATTATTTTGAAATATTGTATCTCCTCCATATTGTCTATCCTTAGGAGACACAGACGTTCCATCACCTTTATATTTTAATGTTATACTTTCGGGTTTAGTGGCATTGCCAGATATCGAACTTTCAATCATTTTCACTTGTTTATTAAATGATTATGTATTAAATATCTAGTATACGTCAGGCCAACAATTCTTGTTACAAAACTCGTGTTTTTGGATCCCAATTAGAAGTTTATGTCCCAACGAGAAATTGTTGTTAAGCGTGAATTACGATTTATTATATATAGGAAAACGTGATAGTTGCATTCCGAATGTTATCTTCGGACTGTATATATTCTTGTACACCTTGTCAATGGCACGTTAGCAAATATCTTATTTCCTTATATACTTCTTGATACCCTAAATATTAAAAAATTTTGTTGAAGAAAGTTCGAAACATGTTTTGAAGTGACCGAGAATTTTGAATGATGACATCTGCTTGGACGAGCAAGAATCCCCATATGTTATATATGTTGAGGGTATTTCATTTGAAGTAGATTTTATGATTGCCAATGGAATTACGTTGGACTTAGAACAACGTATCCTACGGAGCGCGGTAATGGAATGTCCATTGAATACTGGCAGTGAGCATTGCGATAGGGTGAGACAGGTTCGATTGAATCGACGACGACGAATACCGGCAAATTCAGAAGCGATTGTATGGGGAAAACTAGACGCGAATAAAAGGACGAACAGATGCTGGATTGTAGAAGCCATGGAAAATGTCGGAGTCGATAATATCGTATTTGCACGAACTTTGGTGCATCCGTTCAGGATTAATCAGGAAATCAAATATGATGCGGAGATCGCAGAGGGCTTGTTGATCGCGAAGTTGTCTTATAAAGATATACCGTTAAACGTTGATGCCAACCTCACAGATGATAAGAACGTGACAATTGATGTAAATGTCTTGTTTCATGAGGATACCACAGATGACGTATTGGCTACGGGTAGTGAATTTAATGCTGATGTCAGAGATGTCTTGTTCGTTTCGGACATAAGAAATAATGAGAATAAGATGAAAGTAGTTCATTTGGAACGGTTGGCGCGTTGTCATGAAGATATGGTGACACTTGTTCGGGACGAACAAGTTTAGGTGGAGGGCAGTGTTGCGAAGATACAAATCGATTCAAGTTAACTGAGATAATTTTAAATTATGTCAGTTAGCTAGTAAATAAGTTTTTAAATGTAGTTGGTTAATTTTAAGAGAATAGGAAGTTGGTTATTTTAAGCAATAAAGTTGTGTGTGTTTAAGAAGATAAATAACGGTTATAATTAATACAAGTTTAATATTATTCACTTATCAGAATCCAGTGTTATCGAACGAAGCGTTAGAATAAACGTAACAATATGTTCGAGTATTTCTATTTTATATATAAAATAGCATTTAATTGTATTTAATAATTAAAGTACATTTTATGTAGTTAAACTGCTTTTATATTAATTTTATCAATAAATTTGGGACATAAATTGACTACTGAAGGCTTATTTAATAAATGTCGGTAATGTAGGTAATTGCTTTTTATTCTGAAAAAAGTTGGTGTTATTAAAAAATTTGTTGTCTTGATAAAAATGCTATGTAAAGGATTGAATTATTATTTAACATTAAATCGTTATTCAGATTTTAAGAAAATTAGATACTAATATTAAAATTTTTGTAAAGTGATATGCTTAAATAGACTTTATTTACAGTAAATTACACTAAAATAAATGAAAACTGTTCACACTGCTACAAATGAAACCAATCACATTTTAAGCGACTTTAAGGGGTTTTGCATCTGTGGCGAAACGAATTCCTAAACCCAACTTAACGCGTTAGAGAAGTTAAGTACTCCTATATTCGAATAGCTAATAGTGCATTAGGAATGCAAGAGTACTGTTATGATTGATAATATAGTCAAAAGATGGAAAATATGTCCCTAATTAATTTTGAGCGTTTCTTTGTTGAATGAAGGCTAATTTCCTTGATTATTAATGATTATCTCTTATCTATTGAGAGATACAATCTTTACCAATTATATATAAAATCAAGAATGATATGAGAAACTACGGCTCATTTGTCTGGGAATTTTAATAGTATCGTAATGTGTCACAAATTTAAATTTAAAAAAGTAAGCTTAGATTTCTCCAAAAAAAAATTACTTACCTTGTGGAAAAATATTAAATTTCATATTAATAATATCTGTTGAAGAGTAAACATCAAAATTAAACAAACTTTCGGCCCATACTTCCAAATTATTTTTGATAAACTTTGTCTGGAGCTGTATTTCCGAATATGTATCAAAATTTCGAAACCTTACTTTCACATGGATTCACTAATGGTACCACAATATCAATTTCATACGTATTCATCCTTATAAATTAAAAAAAAAAAATTTGTTTTGACAGTAGTTCCCAAATCAGTGCTATGAAGAACCTATGTGAAGTTAGGGACTTTAAAAATTCTTGATGTATTTGTGATTAATTTGATAACTTTGGGGTATATCACTCAACTTAACATAATAAGGTAAGTAATACAATTTTTAGTCGATTAATAAAATAAAATCCTTAATAATTCGATCCGTGTAGATCGAAGATGCCGTATATAATAAATTTGTAGTATTTGGTATTGTATATATAGATAAATTATGATTATCACAAATTTTAGTGCGAAGTGGATAACTTATGGATACAACACTCTGGATGTGATTGACTAATAGTTATTAGTCCAAATTAGTTGTCATCATATAGAACTACTCTTATGATCCAAATCACATAAGTATACTTTTGACAAGTAAAAGTATACTCTTTGCTTGATCAAGTAACATTAGGTGAAATATTAAGATTTTCATATTATATCAAATTAAATATATTAAATCAAATTACATAAATTCCCACAGCGCATATGATCTATTCAACAATCGATGTGCCGAGATTACTAAAACTTATATATACTCCCACACAATTTTTGATTCAATCGTTTGAATGATGAGTAAGTTCTTTAATCTTTTGTATTTAGTATCAAAATAGGTGTCTAATTTCTTATATTATAGTTAAAAGAAGTACATAACTAGTTCTGACAAAATAGGGGATATGAACAAGTCGCGATGCGTCTAAAATCCATAGGACCACATTCGAGATTCCAAAGTATACTTCTGCTGAGTAATTTTTACCTGATATAAATAAGGTAAGATAATATACTATTATTTATTTATTATTTATTATTTGATTACTAAAACAAGTTTTAGTTTCCATAGCGCATCTGATGTGTTTATTTACAGAATCGATGTACCGAGGTTATCAAAACTTATTTGTTAGTATTCCAAAATTTTTACTTCAATCGCTTTAATTGGAGAGTAAATTTTATAATCGAATGAATTTTTTTTTTATCCACATAAGTGCCAAATTATCTCAAATTATAGTTGAAGGATGTACTCAACTAGTGATGGCAAAAAAAGCGGATGTGAAAAATCCTGCTCCCGCTAAAATCCAATCCAGATTTCCAAAATTATTTGCGTGTTTTGCAATTTTTACTTTACCTGGATTGGATCAAATGAAAGAAATATTTTATTTTAATTAAATATCAAACAGTTATTGATATACTTAACCAATAGAAAATCAACAATCCCATTTATTTTAATTTAAAAATGAATTTAATAACTTTAATGTGATTCTAATATATAATAATGCACCTTTATTAATTGTATCTAAATATTGTATTGTAAAATTGTTAAGTGAAACAATAAACTTATCCATGATTCGATAAATGTTTTCAGTTCAAGGATTCTTTATTTATTCAAGGGAATTGTCGACCAGTGGTGTGTTAACGTAATTGCTGACCAGTGGTGTGTCAAATAAATAAAATTCACAGTAAAAGTAATACGAAATGTATACAATTTTAAAGAATATAAAGATTATAAGTACTAGGTATTCATTTATAGATTTATAAACAGATGGTTAAAGTATTGAGTTTTTTAAAGTAATATCTTTGTTAGACCTTTTTCGCTAGTGGCTTCAAATAAAAAATAAAAACTATTAGTTTAATTTGATTTTTACATCTTACATCTAATATAAATCTTTCATTCAACAGAAATTATTAATTTCCTCAAAAATACACATATGCCTCCTATGTCTCAAGCCAAACGATATTATTTTATTATTAGTTGTCAAGTAATCGAATTTAAATATATAAAGGACATACGAATTCTGGTTCAGCCTTGCACATAAGGCTGTCTGTATTCAACAAATCTTGTGAATAACACCTCATGGATGTCATGTTAACATTTTCTGTAACATGACTTCAGTAAATCGTAGTCTTATAAGTGGTGCTCGCATAAATTTGAAAAGGACATTAGAACAGAGGCTGCTGTATAAGCCAGATTGGCTTCAATCTTGTTCAAAAGTAACTATTGGTAGTTAAGACAACTCAAGCCCTGAGTTTTTTTGATCACTACAATTATATCTCGTATAAATAAAGAATACAATACTTCTAAATATTTTAAAATTGCTCTATCTTTGCAGTTTTATTATCAGAGAAAAAAATCTATTAAGCTTTCTAGTAAATTTGTTATTTAAATAATAAAAGAATTAACAAAAGGCTACTTTAAGAACATTTAATTTTTACTTATCATTTTGTTTAGTATTTTTCACTCTGTTTCCTCTATTCATTCTAGGAACTCATATTTATCATTCCTTTTCGGTTTTTGTGGAAGCATAATAATTGTAATAATCTATTAACTGCTAACGTTTTATGCATAATTTATTAACCACAAAAAATGCGAAAGGGAAGTGAGGAGACACAACAAACAAACAAGTGAACAAGCAAACAAGCAAATGGAATGAGAGAAAAAGTAAAACAGGAATAAACACATTGACCCAATTTCTTACAATGGAGCATTTGAAAATCCTGCAGACATGGCAAAAACTAAAAATGCCACAAGCAATTATGAAGTTACTAACACTCTGCAACCCCAACATGATAATGGGTGTATTAGAGCAAAGATGCGACACCAGGATAAGAGTGAACTTAACACCGAGACCATCACAATGAAGTGGAATATTTAACTTTGGAAATTACAGGCAAGACAAAGTCATGTAGCCAAGTGAGATATGGAATAGGAGTATGAAAGCATGAAAATTGTTGGGGCGGCACACATTCCTGTACGCCCATGAACTGACAGATAGACAGGCGGAGAGACAGACAGACAAACTCGTTAATTTAATATACAAAATATTTATAAGCAAATTGCAAATAAGAAAATAAATGATATGAAACAATTTTTGTATTTAAAATTTTGACAATGATTTTTTTCAATCTCTTTCAATCCCTTAAATCCATTGAATTGAACAAAAGATACTGAAGAAAGATATTCGCTGATATCACAAGGAAGTTTCCTTAGCATAAAAATTGGGTTAAGTTGTTAACTTTCTGACTATTATTATTTTTTTTTTTAATATTTTGAAATAATACAACACAGAAGACAGAAGACAGAAAACAGGGAAAGTGAAATCCTTAATGTAGCGCGACATTCGCTTTCTTTTTGCCCGTGACTCTTTTCTGGGCTTTGTTATTTCATTTTTTATTTTTCCTTTTTGCCACCGTGACAGAAACTACTTTATACTGCTTAAGGCTGCATTTATAAAGGACTACACGCTTACGTACCAACATACCGACATACCGACATACATTGCAAACATACCTAAACGTAGCCGAAAGCGGTAGTTCTGAAAGATTATTTATATCATGCGATAATTTTATATACTTTTTTTACAAAGGATGTGCTTACGCAGCATAAAACATAAAAAATTATTAAGCACAGACGTTCTCATACCGCAGATCCGTTGCTCATACCAGTGAAAAACAACAGCGACACCGAAGACAAGGACAATAAAAAGGTGAAAGTTAGACAGGAATTCAAGCGTAACAAATGAGTTGTCTCCGGAGTGAATCGCTCCAGCGAAGCTGCTGCAGGAGCGGACCAGAACTTGATGCGCAGCGATGCTAAACTTTGTGTGAGTTAAGTTAATCGCGCGAAAACTTATGATGATGTTAGCATTAATTCACCACAAAAGTTCAGCAGATGCATAACAATTTCCTTTATTCAATTTTTGAGGAACTGTTCTCTTGTTTTTCTCGAAAAATGGCAAGGACAATTTATTAAATTAGTGACGATAATTTTTCATTTCTTACTTTTAAACACAAAATATTTTTGCAATATATAAGCGGTTTAGTTGTTTATTTTAGAGGTTTTCTGTTATTTACTGCATATGCAAAAAATATTTCAATAGTAAGAACCTTAAAATGATTTTGAGTTATATTTTCAGTTTTTAAAATTATTTATTATAATGAAAAAAAATAAAACGTTTTGCTGAAAAGATTCTTAGCGAACATAGAACTATCTGAACTATCTATATCTATATCTATATATATCTATATCTATAGAACTATCTATATCTATCTGGTAAAAACATTCAAATACGACAAAGCAAATCTTAAATTTTAGTAGTGAAAGTAATACTATGTTCAGAGACATACATGAATTTCGAAAAAATCTTAATTTCAACTTTGTTTCAGTGGAATTAAGTTCTTTTCTCCTTACAAAATTCAGTTTTGAGGTTAAAACGAAATGGACTTGATTTCGTTGAAACAAAGACTGAAATAAAGGATATTTCAAATGCAACTCTGCGTAAGATAAATTTTTTGCAAAAGGTAAAGGTGTTGTAAGGTGACATATTTATTTAAAATAGTTACCTTTGATTTTTATTAAATAATATACAAGTATAATTAAAATAAGTTTTTATTCATATTATTTGACATTTTCGTTCACTTCACATATTTTGGCATTTTCATCAAAATTTCCGTAATTAAATTAGTACCTTACAAAATTTAAATATAAAACAAGAACCAGAAGGATATAGGTTAAGGTTTATCTATAATACATTTACAATATAACAAAATATAGTGAACTCAATTTATACTAAATTACAGATAGCAAATATGAATACAGAATAGCACCCACAAAATACGTATATTTCTTAATGGATTTAAGAGATTTTTGAATGATCAGGATAAGTTTTGGTGAGTTTTTCTGAAATTTTAAATTTTATGAAAAATAATGTCGTCTATATACATTAAGCGATCTTTGCGAAAACTCTAACGATCATGTGTAATGCATAATTACTTCGACTCTAATGAAACTAAGCAAGTTATGGACTTCATGTATTCCCGTATGAAATTCAAAAATCAATTGAAAAAATTAGAAAATGGAAAAGAAGTTAAAAAATAATACCCCTTTTGTGTACCAGTTTATTGGGTATTAGTATATTCGAATTTGGATAGAAGAATGGTACTATTCATGGATTTCAGAACTAAAATAGACCTTAGATCAAAAGTATATTATAAAATATCTCTATTAATATATCTTAGTACTCGTTCAAATTTTAGCATGAAGAAGACAATAACTTGCGTTATAAACACTCTGGACGAGAAATTAACCCAACTATGTCTAAAAACCAGTTTGAGATGTCATCATGTAAGATTGCACTTAAAATTTGATTTAACTATGTATCTTTGGTATCCAATCCTCTATTCTATTGTGAAGGACCATGGGAACCGAACAATTCTGACATGAAAATTAATTGATTTTTTTTGATTATTGAACGAAGGAGATGAGAAGAGTCGCATCTCACCATGATGGCTACCAAATTGAACCCTTTTTCGTCTTAATTTTAATAAAGAATTAATGGACGAAATTAAATGTGGTTTTTATTGCTTTATAATTATTTTACATATATTTTTGTAAGTGAATTTGAATTATGAATCATGATTTAATGGAGTTGGTAACAGCACTAATATTAAGACTAAGTAAAGTAGTTTTAGGTCAAACCTAGCAGTTTATATCGCCTTTATTGTAACATATAACTTTTAATTTGTTTCTAGTAAAACATCGACAAATCTTTCTCCCGATGTTAGAATTCTTTTAAGTGTAGAAATGACCATCTATTATACTATTTAGTTCAGTCACTCTAACCTTTAATAACTTGATGCTGATATCAATAGAAAGATATCTTTTGATATTATTGTTACTTTACACTTTTAATCACAATAATGATATATACTCGTACTTAAGTCTATCAGTAGCTAAGCTAACCCATCATCATCATATCCACCTTATCGATGCCTTTCTACTATAATATCCAACCACTCATAGAAACTATTGCGTAGTTTGGTGAAATTTTTATGAGTTGTTTTAATTTATAATATTAATAAAAATATTGTCCTTGTAAAGTGCACTTAATATTTTAACAATTCAGTTGTTAAGTATCTTGTTGTACTGCTTAGTATTTATAGTCTTAAACTAAACCTCGACATAATGTTCCAGCCATTAAGCATATTTTGAGAAGGTAAGAAATGAGAATGTAATTCATGAGGTCAGTTGCCTTTTAACTGTTTACGTTGTTTATGTTGAAATGTTGAGAATGGCTTCCAAAAAAATAAATATCCTTGTGACATTTATGCGCAGCGTAAATCACAACAGCTGCCAACAACAGAGCTCACAACTGCAGGAACAGGCACAGGCACGAGCACGGGCATGAGGTACTATGAGTACAAAATCATTATGTTAATTGAAATGGTGGCCTTTTTAACAGAAAGTCAGCAAGATAGCAAAAGTTGCCACTTAGTCTCATATACATAAAAATAATCGATTGAAATGATCTGAATTATTTTATTAAAAACCAAACAACACATATCAATAAGTATTGAGAATAAGATACCTTGATTAGTTTTGCATACCAATGAGTGTGTGTATCATTTTGAAACAATTAAAAAAATTCGGATATTGGCAACCATAATCCCACATTCCCACATTCCTAACATAATGAGCAGGCAGTAAGGAGCATGCTTTGTGCTCTGCTACCATCGACATTAGTAGTCATCACTTTAATTACCAGGAGTGTTTAAATAAGCATAACTGCTCAACCATGTGACAATATAACGGAGGCAGGCATTGTTATTGCAGTCGGCAGTTGAGCCTATTATGACAACATTTTCATTGTTATTCCTGCTCCTGTAAGTTTTCGACAAGCTGAGCAACAAATATTTACAGAGATCTTGATTGTAGCAGCAGATAATAAAACAAATTAAAGTAACAAATTGAAGGAATACAAAGGCGGAAAGTGCCGAATAAATGTTCAGGGTATCAAGGAACCTGCTTAGTGTCAAAGGCCAATGACCTTAAAAGCACTTAAGCGTAATCTAATGAAATAATTAATAAAAATACTTAATAGAGGAAATTTTTGTAAGGCCACATTTAGGAACTTTTAAATCAATTTAATTAAGTTTCATTGAAATAAAAAAATGTACAGATAAAAATTGTTTATGGTTATTTCTAAATATTTTAAGTTTAAATTTTAATTTTAAAAGCTTTGGCGGAAACGGTAATGAGAAATACACAGAATTTTAATTGAAAATTCCATTGAAATAAATCCTGCAAAATTTCAGCTACAAAGCGCTAAATATTAAAAATTCAGTAGGTGCCTGCATGAAATTAAAACGCTTTTAAATGAGTTAATAATGCGCATTTGCCAGCCTTGAAAAGCGATTATCATCATTAAAAGTTGAGAAGTTTTTAAAATTTAATTCCTGCATCATTTGGTGTACATTTTTGCTGTGACTACTGCATTGTAGGTGGGCGGTTGTTGACCGCGAAAACCACAAGGACCACTAACCGCAAGCCACAACCCGCAAACCATTGCTGCCACAACTGCAACGCGGTCAGTTTTCATTCCTTTCACAGCAGCATTCACTAAATTACCCGAGTAAGTCATAGCGTGCACTTTTGTTTATAGAACGTGGCATCATTGCAGTTGCTGTTTTTCCCATTTGCGGCATGTTGAGTGGCAACATATTTTTATGGCTCGTGCTGTTTCGTTTAGAGCTGAGAAAAAATTGAAGGAAAAACACTTGTCACTTGGCTGCTGTGGTTGGCTTCGTTGCAACTTTTATTCAATTTGGTTGCACAAAGTGTTAACTGGGATCCTGCGATATCCTTGCGAAATTGAAAATGTGATTAAATTCTTGATTTCTCAAATTGAAATTCGTGTTCACACTTCATTGAAATAAGTGAAAATAATTTTCAGATATTAATGTTATTAAATATAAATTGAAATGGTATTTGATCTAAGTGAAGCAATTTATTTTAGCGAAGCATTTTTCATAGTTTTATTTATGACGTTTCTAGTAAACTTCTTATACTGAAAAGAGAGGACTTCTGTTCGGGTACTGTAGACTGAGAGACCGTCTCAATAAAATAGGGTTTTCAGAGACCAGATGTTGAAACATCTGTTTCTGTAAGAGTATTGTCGGCTCCGGGACTGTCTCAACAAAATTGGCATTTCTAAGACTAGATGTTAACACGACTAAGCAAAATCTCTCTGGCTTCCTCTGAACTGACTAGCAATAGTATTAACATATATATCTGGGGGAAAAAACTTGTTATTCCTCATAATATGTATATGAAACAATATATAATCTTTGAAGATGCTCAAGTTAATCAGAAGCCTACTGATCGATGAAAAGAGCTGATGTTAGCACCAAAGACCATTTGAGTCGCGGTGCACAATATTCCCCATTCAATTATGTTAATAATAATAATATATATGTGTGTTTATCAGATGTACATATTTTATGTGATAAAGTTTGTTGCAGTTAATTCACAGATTCTGATTTAATATTACTATAAATCTTAATCTTTTTATTACAAAAAAATCTTCGGTTAGGTGAGGAGGAGAGATTGTGTGCTGAAACAGCTGTCAGCACTTCATGTGTTCTGAAATCCAGCTTATGAGTGTGTTGATGATATTTCATATTTATTAGTAAGACATGACATTTGTTCGCAATCCCCGATTTCACACTTTCGGAGAATTTTTAGAATTTTTACCTAAGTAATGAGTTCAGTATATAGTTATTAAATTCGAATATTCTTAAAAATAATCTTTTAAATTATATCTTTAATTACATTTTCATATTCGTTTAATTTATTCAGCCTTTATAATAAATTTTTTGAATCAAAAATTATACATGCGATTATTTTCATAACTGCTTGACTGCCTAAAAAGATTTAAATATACTAAAGATGAATTACTATACTATATTATAAATATATTGTATACAGTACATTGTATGAACCTGCCTGCTTTTACGATTGCACATTTCTCTGCCCGGAAAGCGTAGTTGGTGACAGGAAATCAGTATAACAGCCATATCTGCAAATATTCCAAGTGGATACTCACTCGCTTTCCACTCTTCACTCATCAGTATCGGAAGTAACTCCAGAATTAGCTGCTACAGATCCCGGGTTTACCCTAGATCACTAGTAGGGTAGGGTAGATTGTGTTCAAAGTCTGAATAATGGCCTATTCCGATACCACACTGGTGGTGGAAAGAGTAGAGTGTGGAAAAAAAGTCTTACTACAGAATACGTTTTAGCAGAGACCTTATTTTCCAACTTTCGTTATTAAATTAAATTAAAAAATCAACTTCGTGTTAAAAAAATGTTCAATCTATAAAAGAAACTCAGTCCAGTACCAGTATTCCAACTTATTCGGAACTACTAAGCTATTAAATATTTGTTTATTTACTTTTTCAGCTAACAACGGCTATAAACTTTGACCTTTCTTACTAGATTATTTTAATAATTATACTATAGTAGTATTTAGTAACTAAGTTTGTTTCAAAATATGACAATTTCATTTCCTGTTATTGCATCAGCACAGCTCATGCCAAAAGTAATTAAGCACGCATCACTTGCAGTTGAGCATAGCTGAAAATTGGGTCAATTCATAGTTGCAATAAAAATGCAATACAATCAAACTAAAAGCTCATAAGTCCTGTAAACAAAGAAGTCAAGGATTTCAATATAATAAAAAATAAATGTATGTACAAATGCATTTAAAAATACATTTTTTTTCTGCTCTTTTCCGAAATGCCCGTATACATTTTTATAAAAATATACAAAACTTATAGATATTAAAAGAGTATAAACACAGTGCACAGTACGTGATGTTATTGCCAAGTTTTAAATTGCATGAAATGCCGAGCTGTGCCTTTTCAGCGCTACTGTCAAATTACTCGTTCTTGGCAATTATTGTTATTATTGTATCTCTTACAAAAGTTGGTTATTAATTTTTAGTTCAAATATTTTTGCAAGTTTTTTGTTTCATTTTACACATATATATTTTTTTAAATTAAACATTTTTGATGAAATTTCGGCTTAACATTATCTTTATCCGCAGTAGCCTTCAACGCAAAGAGAATTAATTCGCTTAAAAAAAACTATTTCGAAATAGTTAAGAAACTGCAAAGTAATTTTCAAAATTATAATACTATCTTTTATGTATTCTTTGGTTGTGCTTTTGGTGAACATGATATTTCCAAGAGATATCTCCAACTTTATGGTTTTAATCATAATGTTGTATGTAGACTTCACACTACTATAACATCGCGAAGAAGACATCATTATCCATATAAAAAACAACTGTTCTTTATTAACGTGAAAATAGATTTCGACTTAAAGATGTTAATCTATCGAAACTAATTATATTTGTTGAGGTGTCTTGGGGGAATTATTAATTCAGTAGAAGTAATCCACCGCTTATTATTAGCAATGAAAGAGTATCTTCAGATCACGCACCTCAACTAACTCTCCAAGACATATGGGCTGAAGATATTTTTAACTTTAATAAAACAAACTGACAT